TATTTTTAACTGAACATCCTCTTTCCCAAGCCTCTGGATTCACTCTGGGAAATATGGACACTTTTTTGCTTTGATTGGAACAAAGTTTTCTTCTTGTCGCTGTAGATTGTTGATTGGCTGTGCCATGGAAATACACTTTCCCCAGCACTGCTCTCAGATTTCCCATTTTTTCTTCTGCTTCTACTCCTTTGGTTTTCTTTCTTGGCTCTCATAGAATTTTAGGGAATTTCCTTGGAAGCATCTTTCTCCCTTCAAAAGCTACCCATACACCTGTCCAGTCGTGACACCGACCGCAGAATGAGGGCTTGATCCTAAGGCTGGCCCTTGGGTGAAAGTCTGTGAGGCCTACAGGGGTCTGTGCTGCTCTGGTGCCCCGTGCCAGCGCAACTGGCACTGGGTTACCTATGGACATGAGCCACTCCCAGATAAATCACTTCTGCAGCAGCGACGTGCCTTGCCCAGCTGTGATGGGTCTTTGCAGAAGTAGATTCTCCCAACCTAATGTTGCATTTTTGCTTGGAAGTGACTTAGCAGATGCAGGTTAAGCCTGTGCTGTATTCCAGGCCAGGCTCAAAGCTCCTCTGATACTCAGGTATTTATGGATGCCAGTCTGCACTCGGAAGCCTCCCTGTGAGATGCAACAAGAGGGAGCTTGAGCGTGACCCCAAGCACACGCTGCCACCCACCCGTGGGTATCCCACCCCCTGGGCAGGGACAGGAGGCTGCATGTGTAGAAAGCAGGGACCATCCCAACATTGGCATGATCTCTGCTTCATCTCTCAAAATGCTGCTTAGTGCCTTCCATTTATTGTTTTTTAATCCAGAAAACCTGTGAGATATAATGTATTGGTACATTAGACATCACATTAACCGTGCCTATATGCCATGGTCCTGAATTGTCACCGGTGAGCAGTGAATCCATCACAGCATCTCAGCTGTGAGCAGACAGGGAGAGCATGACCCTGCGTGGTAGGCCTGAGTGGCAATTCCCAGCAGTCTGTCTCTGGTGGTTTCAGAAGAGTTAGAGATCCTCCACCGGAAGAACAGACTAAACCAAACAGCAATGACAGTAGTTGTGTTGGCTGGTTTTATTTTTATTGTCAGCAGTGAGTTTTTTATATGCCATCACTTTCACCAGCCCTTAATTGCTGGCACAGACCCTCAGCTGCCGAATTACCTGTCCCAGTGCTGTGTGAAGGGCTCTTACATCTTTTGCCCCCTGAAGAAGCTGTGGCCATTCCAGTTAAGGCTGTGGGGATTTCAGCTTAGAGCAGGTACTAAACTTCTCCATCTTGTGTTAAATATAAACAAAAGATGAGGTTGTCCTTCAAAGAACTGAGCACTTTAGTGAGAGAGAAGGCTGCTGACAGTAGGGAGCCTGCTGGCCCTAGATGTGATGAAGGGATTCTGAAGTGACACAGCAGAACCAGGCAGGGTTTGCTGTGACTATGAAAGCTACAAGCAGCAAGGATCCACCTACAAGCGCAGTGGGCAAGGGGAAGGTGATGTGTAAAGCTGGTCTGTTTTCTTTAAATAGAAGTCATCATAAAGAAGAGGTCTGGGTTAATGTTCTGGCCACAGCTTGCTTCTGACATGGCTCACCAGATCTCTGATGGGACCCTCACCAGAAGCTCTGTGTGTATGCTGCTTAAGATCTCACCCTTCATACCTAAGGGGCTTTGTACAGTGGAGTGCCACTGCAGAAGGTGGATGCTGGAACTGGCTGGGGGGTAATGT